AGTTTATTCTCACTGGCCTCACGAGTCAAAAGGAGTTGAAGATGCCTCTCTTTGTGGTTTTCTTAACTATCTACCTCTTCACAGTGCTAGGCAATCTAGGTTTGATCTTAGTCATTAGAACAAATGCACGACTCAACACACCAATGTACTTCTTTCTTAGCAACCTGGCTTTCGTCGATTTTTGTTATGCTTCTGTCATTACACCCAAAATGCTTGGGAACTTCCTGTACAAACAAAATATTATCTCCTTCAATGCATGCGCTGCTCAATTAGGCTGTTTCCTCACTTTCATGGTATCTGAGTGTTTGCTACTCGCTTCCATGGCCTATGACCGATATGTGGCCATTTGTAACCCTCTCCTGTACATGGTTGTAATGTCCCCAGGAACCTGCATTCACCTTGTAGCTGTCCCCTATAGCTATAGCTTCCTGGTTGCACTCTTTCATACCATCCTCACCTTCCGTCTCTCCTATTGCCACTCTAATGTCATCAATCATTTCTACTGTGATGACATGCCTCTCCTCAGGCTAACTTGTTCAGACACTCATTCCAAACAGCTGTGGATCTTTGCCTGTGCTGGTATTACATTCATTTCTTCTGTTTTGATTGTCTTTGTCTCCTATGTGTATATTATTTCTGCCATTCTGAGGATCCGCTCAGCTGAGGGCAGGCGCAAGGCTTTCTCCACATGTGGCTCCCACATGCTGGCGGTCACCATATTCTATGGAACCCTGATCTTTATGTATTTACAGCCAAGCTCTAACCATTCCCTTGACACAGATAAGATGGCCTCTGTCTTCTACACAGTGATCATTCCTATGCTGAACCCGTTGATCTACAGCCTTCGGAACAAGGAGGTGAAAGACGCCGTGAAGAAAGTCACCATCAATAGAAAGAAACTAGGCTGCTGTGTTCTTGAAATTTAAAAAATGATTTGACCATACAAAAATAACTTGTCCTTCATGATCTGTTTTCTCCTCATGAATAAAACTAAGAGAGTGTCTTGTTCTTTGGTTCTCAGTAAAGATGTGTTCACTGTAAAATGAAATCATTCTCCAAATTCTTTGTAATAATTTATGCATAACAAGTTTGATAAGAATTTACATTGTGTTATTTCTCCAGTGAAAAAAATTATATATTAAAATTCCATGATCTCATCTGCTAGTTACATAACTAGTTACTGGCCAAGAATGAACAAAAGTGAAGGCTCTTGGAACACCAAGTTTAGAATTGTAAGAGCATTTAAATAATATATTTGTGAGTGCTTAAATAGTATATTTTACATTAAATGCCAAGAGACGACTGTAAACTAGTGGTGTCAACCAAGAGTGATTGCCCCCCCACCAGGGGACATTGGGCAATGTCTGCAAATATTATTGATTTTCAACATGACAATGTGTGTAAAGGAATACTATTGCTATGTAGAGGGTTGAGGCTGGAGGTGCTGCTGTTTAACCTGCAGTGGACAGGAAAGTCTCTCACACAAAAACTTATCCAGCCCAAAATGGTAGCAGTGCCAAGGTTGAGAAAGCCTGCCTTAAACAATTGTTTCCTAAACAATTATTGGGGCAACAGTGTCATTCTAAAGGGAAAGCTGTACCTGTACTGTTCCTCAGAACCAAGGATAATGTTAATTGATCCCCAACCTGCCTTGAGATCCCTATGGGCTGTGGACTGTAATTTTTCTGATGATCTTACTTGCATTAAAGTCTTAAGTATGATCCCTGGAGATAGAGTCACTGACAAAACCCAGAAGCGTGTTGCTGCCCAAACCCATTTGGAGAAGAAGTTGGAATGACAACTACTCAGGTAGATTCAAAGGCTGTATTTTAAAATTGGGATCCAACTAGGCTTTTTTTTTTAAAATAGAAGGGAATAAAATGTTTCTAATAAACATTTAAGATTGTATTTTTTGAAAATAGGATAAAGAGTGTTCTCTCTAATTTTATTTCTGTTTATATATCTATGATAGTATATGAAATATAGTTCTTATTAGTTTGAAATGAAAATAAGGCTTGAGATCTCTAAGATAGAATTTATCATATAATTTGGATAAGTTAGGCACTTAACTTACTAGACTGTAATCTATGCCAAACTCTTCTTATTTTTGCAAAAGCTAATAATTTTACCTTAGATGAGAAGTGAAAGTATTGAAAACAAGTCATCAATATGTCCCTTAATATGGTGAACATAAAAAGGACATTAATATGAGCAAGGTGAATGAATATTAAAACAATATTACAAAAATTAATTTTTAACTCTCCATTACCAAGCATGTAGAAGGGACTACAGTAGGAAATGTATGAAAAAGTCATGACTTTTACCCATGAAGTCTACATTCTATCAGGAGAAGAAGTGTGGAAACAGATGGCTGCTAAATATGTGAAATGTTATAGAAATAAGTTTTGTGTAAAACATTTCTTGAGCACAGAGAGGGAAACTGCTAGGTATTAGAACATGGGAATGAGAAATCAGGAAAGTTTTTATAGGAGAGGTAGGATTTTGGTAGGCCTTGAAGGATATTTAGGAGTTTTCCCTTCAACTTGTCATTCTCCACACACCTGGTAGAGGTGAGTATAGAAAAAGTCATATATGAAAATAGAGAAACATATAAGGGCATGTAGTAATTAAAGACCACTAAAACAGTTGTTCTGGGTAGATTACATAGTGTTGGTTGCGGCAGAAGAAATGTGAGAATAATTTAAATATAAAATATCATATTCAATATTTTATAATTTTTAAAGTGTAAATATTTTAAATGTTAGATTGTAAATAAAATGAAATGTTAGATGGTAGATAAAAAATGTTAGATGGGAAAGTGGTGGGGGGGTAGGCAGAGACAAATGTATTTGAAAAAAATATAAAGGAAGCAATGATTAATTTGAGATTAAAAAAATAAAATAAAATATTTTATTTATTTGAAAAAAATGTTAGATGGTAAAATATACAATCTGCTTTCAAGTTATTTGCACACATACGCAACAAGACAAGGGAAGGTGACCTACTGACGGCCTTAGAGCTGCCGCACAGTGAAGCCTTTCCTGGTGCCTTGGAACTTGGAAACCAAATTTCCAATCAAATAATTGTTTATTTGTTTCAAGGTGAATTTTATGTATTTGTGGGATCACAAATTAGGCTTTTAAAATCTTTAAATTTTCTACCTGTCTTGTGATGGTAATTGGCAGCAATGATCAATATTAATATATTCATTTTCTTCAAATAAAAACCCAGGAGTGGAATTGCCAGGTCATATGTAGTTAAATTTTTCATTTTTTTTTTTTTTAGGAAACTCCATACTGTTTTCTCTAGAGTTTGTACCAATTTACCTTTACATCAATAGTGCACACTTTCTCTTTTCTCCACATTCTCACGAACCCTTGTTATTTATTGTCTTTTTGACAACAGCTATTTTAACAGGGGTGAGGAGATATCTCACTGTGGCTTTGATTTGTACTTTCTAATGACTAGTGAGGTTGAGCATCTTTCCAAGTGCCTATTGGCTGCCTTTATGCTTTCTTTGGAAAAATGTCTAGTATTTAAATCTTCGGCCCATTGGTTAATTGAATTATTTAGTTTTTTCTTTTGTTATTGAGTTATATGAGTTCTTTATATATTTTGGATATCAACCTTTTATCATATAAATGATTTACAAATATTTTCTCTCATACAGTAGGTTACATGAAAACTTTTTGAGATTACCTGAGAAAGAGGTACAGCATATAAAGACCATTAGTTATTGAAAATAGAGGGAATATTAGTTATTTTATCTGTCCAATATACGAAGTCATGTCCATTGTGTAAAAAGCAATTTAATTTGTATCCTCAAAATTGTATTTTATTTTTCATATAGAGGAAGAGAAAGAAGAATGACAATGACATTATAAATTTAGTAACAGAATATTTCTTAAATGCTACCCTGACCTGAACTAAACCTTACATTAATATTCACATTCCAGTTATGAACAATAGTCCAAAAGATATGAAAACAGCTGAAGAAATTCCACTTAAAATAATAGGGTCAAGAAATAAAAATTAACATAAAACATAATCCAAATCTATACATTTTAAAATAAATGACAAAATGGTAGTAGTTATGTATATTGATATAAATCTATTTATTAGAAAGCAGACATCATTTTTATTTTAATTAAGCAAATGTTTTTAAATTTGCTGATCTTCATTACTTTTGATCAAGTAAGTTGATGCTTTACATATAAAGATGTCTATGAAATATTATAAAGAAGCACTTGGAAGAATTTAGGCATGAGGGGACAGAATAAACTGGGTATGTTGAGAACATAATAGTGGGTGGGCTTCTGCATCGGAAAAGCACAGGTGGGAATTCCAGTTGTGCTACAGAGCCCCAGTCTGAGATCACTCAAAGGCTTAGCCTCTCAGAAGCGACTCTTGCTCATTGTAAAATGGGCATAATAAGACATGAAATAAACACTTATAAAGCATGGTACTGTGTCTTTCATAAAGTTATCCATTTTGAGTGTTTGTATTATTCACACAATTACGAGGATTGTGGAACAATGGAAACCGGTGAGCTCTTGGCAGGAAGGAATGAGTGTAGGAGACAGATAGCATTCTGTATCTGTCAGCATTGCCACAAGGTGGAGTTATAACTCAGAAACGGTGACAGGTTTGTCAAAGCAATGCCACTGTAGAAGTTTCATTTTTCCTTTGTGTTATTAATGTTAGGATTTTGAAAATACCAAAAACAGTTTTCAGTTTTGAAAAATTAATATTAAATTTTAAATAATATAATGCACAAGAGCTTTGAAAAGAGAGCCAGTGTGGACTGAATCCTAGCATACAGCTCAACTTTATAAATACAATTGATTTAGGTGAAAAAAATGTCTTTCCTCTAAAATACCTACTTTTGCTCTTTGTCCCATCCCAGAGTCCAAGTATATTACTAATCATTTTGATATTAGTACTTTCATATTAACAATGCAATTGATTTTCAGAGTGTTAAGGTATAAAAAATTATTAAGGTTTTAAGGTTAATTTAATTAATATTAATTTAATTTTCTCTCCATCCAGATAAACTGAAATACATGGCCCAGGTCAATTGCACACAGGTAAAGGAGTTTATTCTCATGGGCCTCACAGATCGTCACGACTTGAAGACGCCTCTTTTTGTGGTTTTCTTAACTATCTACCTCTTCACAGTAGTAGGCAACCTGGGTTTGATCCTAGTCATTAGAACAGATGCACGACTCAACACACCAATGTACTTCTTTCTTAGCAACCTGGCTTTTGTCGATTTTTGTTATGCTTCTGTCATTACACCCAAAATGCTTGGGAACTTCCTGTACGAACAAAATGTTATCTCCTTCAATGCCTGTGCTGCTCAGTTAGGCTGTTTCCTGGCCTTCATGACAGCTGAATGCTTGCTTCTCGCTTCCATGGCCTATGACCGATATGTGGCCATTTGTAACCCTCTCCTCTACATGGTTGTAATGTCCCCAAGTATCTGCATTCAGCTTGTGGCTATTCCCTATAGTTACAGCTTCCTGGTTGCACTCTTTCATACCATCCTCACCTTCCGCCTCTCCTATTGCCACTCTAATGTCATCAATCATTTCTACTGTGATGACATGCCTCTCCTCAGGCTAACTTGTTCAGACACTCATTCCAAACAGCTATGGATCTTTGCCTGTGCCGGTATCATGTTCATTTCTTCCCTTCTGGTTGTCTTTGTCTCTTACATGTATATTATTTCTGCCATTCTGAGGATCCGCTCAGCTGAGGGCAGGCGCAAGGCTTTCTCCACATGTGGCTCCCACATGCTGGCGGTCACCATATTCTATGGAACCCTGATCTTTATGTATTTACAGCCAAGCTCTAACCATTCCCTTGACACAGATAAGATGGCCTCTGTCTTCTACACAGTGATCATTCCTATGCTGAACCCGTTGATCTACAGCCTTCGGAACAAGGAGGTGAAGGACGCCGTGAAGAAAGTCACCATCAGTGGAAACAAGGCTTTTCTGTTCATGAAATTAAAAAAATGACTTAAGCAAATAAAAAGATCTTTTCTTTACTCTGTAATTTTTTTCCTTTCAAAAAATATCAGAATGCCTATTCTTTTAAAACAAATTTTGGGGTGACATTGATTATTAAGATTATATAGGTTTCCCATTATTTGAAATATAAACTTAGTCATACATATATTAATCAGATATATATGTTTGTCTCTAGAATATTCATTATATTTCATTGATCTTGATTATTTCTGTGCTGGTGTCATGTTGGTTTAATTGCTGAGACTTTATAAAGGTTTTTTAAATATTTTATAATCAACTTTGACATTTAAAAAATAAATAAAATCAATATGCATTTTAGAAGGAAAAAAAGAGAGAGGGATGGAACTCCTACCTTTTGCGACAACATAGATGGAACTGGAGAATATTAAGCTAAGTGAAATAAGCCAGTTAATGAAAGACAGTTAACATATGATCTCACCTATAACTGGACTCTATTCAACAAAATAAACTAATGAACAAAATAAACCACAGACACAGAAACATGGAGCAGACTGAAAGTGACCAGAAGGGAGGGGAGAAAGAGGACAATGGTGGAAAGAAGGGGAAGGGACTAGGCAAAGAACATGTATGAATGACCCATGGACATGGACAACAGAGTGGGAATTGACTGTGGGAGTGGGGGATGGGGGTGGGATGGGTGGCGGTAGGTAAAGGGGGAAAAATTGAGACAACTGTAATAGAATAAACATGATTTATAAATTTAAAAAAAAGCAAAAAAAAAGTTCAGTAACCCCCCCAAAAAAAGATTATATAGGTTTCAAGTGTACATTTCTATTATACATGATCTGCATATTGCATTGTGTGTCCACCATCAAAGTCAAGTCTTTTTCCATCACCATATATTTGACCCCTTCTTCCCGTTATTACTCCTCCCACCCCGCTTTCCTCTGGTAAGCACTATATTGTTGTCTGCATCTATGAGTTTTTGTTTGTTTGTTTTTCTTGTTTTTTCATTTGTTGCTTTCAGTTTTATATCCCACATATGAGTAAATCATACAGTTCTTTACTTTTTCTGTCTCACTTATTTAGCTTAGCATGATATTCCCAAAGTCCATCCATGTTGTTGCAAAAGGCAGTATATGAGATGTGTACTGAAAAATTCCAGCCATTGTTAATATAACAAGAACAGTTTGTTCAACATTGATGTAACCTGGCAGCCAAGGAGAGTGGACTGGAATGCACATGTGTGAACAGTGATGACTTCACTGTACTAATCAGTAGGGGTGGTAGACACCTTTGAGTGAACATGATACTGTGTAGCCATAGCATTCAAAATGACTGAGGGGATAGAACAACAAATCTGCATCAAATTTTGTGTTAAGCTTGAACATTCCTCTGCAGAAACTATTTGGATGATTCAGAAGTCCACAGCTATGGACAACTAGTGACTGGAAGCTTCATCACGACAATGTGCCCATTCATGCATCATGTCTCCTGCAGAGTTTTTTGGTGAGACATTAAATGACCCAGGTAACTCAGCCCTGCTACAACCCAGATTTGGCACCCTGAGACTTCTGGCTTTTCCCAAAACTAAAATCACCTTAGAAAGGGAAGAGAGTTCAGACCCTTGATGAGATTCATGAAAATATAATGAGGCGGCTGATGGTGATTCGGAGAACTGTGTAGGTACCAAGGTGCCTACTCTGAAGGGGACTGAGGTGTCATTGTCATATGTACAAAGTTTCTTGTATCTTGTATTTTCTTCAATAAATGTCTCTATTGCTCATATTACATGGCTGGATACCTTCTGGACAGACTATACATATATATGTTTACATATGTGTGTGTATATACATGTGTATATATGTGTATACACACATATATCATATCATTTTTATCCAATCATCTTTTGAAAGACACTTTCATTGTTTTCATGTCCTTGTCTAATCTTAATACTTTTTAAAGATATTCATTTAGAATAAAATTTCTAAAAGTAACAGTAACCATAAGGATTTGCCACCATAGTCTCATTTTTCAAATGTGAAATGTATTAAAAATAACAAATTCTTAAGTTCATAATAATGTATGCCAATTTCCTCATTTCTCAAATGAAAGAGTGAATAATTTGTTACAGACAGAAGAGAGACCAATGTTCAGACTCTTCACTCCTCCAAAATCCCCAGTTCAAACTTTTCTGGTTGTATCAACAATATCCCAGACTATGCAAAATGAAATAGGTACTTAAAAAGTCCAGCTATTGTTAATATAATAAGAATGGTTTGTTCAGCATTGACGTAACCTGGCAGCCAAGGAGAGTGGACTGGAATGCACATGCGTGAACAATGATGAATTCACTGCAAAGATGCATAGTCTGAATATTTTTTCTGATTTGTTAATTTCTTGAAAAGAAAATATAAAACTTCTTCATATTAATACAAGTAACAAATTGTCTTCATTAAAGAAAATAGTACTACATCCCAACTTTATTTATATCATTAATTTAACATGCCTTTCTACTTACTCAGAAGTCTGGTTTGGTCTCAAAAGACTCTTTGAGAGAACTGCTTTTATTTTTATGCCTATGAGACCTCATTATATTTTTTTTCAGTTATCTCAAAAAATAATAATAATCTAATTCAAAAATAAAATCCCAGGAGGACATCATACATTCTAAACAAATATACTCAAAATAATTGAAACATTAAACCATTTTTCCAGTAACAAGGATCATATGCAGTTATACTGGGCAAACGTTGGGTAAGCTGGTTATTGTTGGTTAACTTATAGCTTATAACACAATAAGCCCAAGCAGACAGTGTAGCCTGGAGAAAAAAAAAACACCTGCTTATTGTCAAAGAATGTCTTGAAAGTATGTGTGGGCTCTCACAAGTTTATCTATTAACTAAAATATTACTCAATTTGAAGTCTTTTTAAAGATTGAACAACATGAAAAAAGGCAATAGTAAATTAGAAGCATTTACATATCATCTTTTTTTCTCTCTACAAGCCTGAAGACCTGAGTTCTCATTCCAACTCTACTAACGAACTTGGGAGAATAACAGATAAGTTAAAATTATCAACACACAGCTGATAACTGTGATATAGAGTTATAACTATGGATATTTGAACATATGTTTTAAATAAATACAATGAAAATTTTATAATTTTTAATTACACAGTTAAAAGTTTTAAATTTACAATTCATTCATATAATTTAAGAATTTTTTAAATCTAAAGGTCATTTGAATGCTTAATGACAAAAGACTAGAAATATGCTATTAATGCCTACAGGAAGATTACATTCAAATAAAAATGTTTCTCAAAAAAATTCTTATATCAGGGTTCACTTTGATTTTACTATATATTTTGATGGACCATAGAGTCACAGAGCTGGTCTGATCCACAGCTCTCAATATTCCTTTTTTCATCTTTTATTTAAACACCTTTACCTCCCATTTGGAGATTTCAGTGGCTCCTGTTCTCTCACAAAGCTCCTGTAGCAAATTTTGAGTCAGTAACGTATATACCAAAAAGCTTATAATTAAATCAAGGCTGGTGCATTTACTGTGTCACAGTTGTTGTATCGAAGAGTGTTGATTTCTTGGAGTTTAACCTTAATGTGAATCCTGGATCTAACATTTGCTACGTCAGTTCTCAGTTTATTCCATTTATGCATGCCACAGTTTCTGCAGCAATATGAAGAGGAAAACAATGTCAGCTGCTGAATTTATTGTTATAGGATCAAAATAGAACATGGATTAAAAATATTTAGAACAAAAGACTTTTTAAAGTGATAGTTTTTATATTTATGACTCTAATGTTAAAATACTGAACATTTAGAAAACTGTATGCATGGCGCATGGATACAAACCATAGTGGGCTGAAGGCCACGGAAGAGGGGGTGAGGGCTGGGTGGTTGGAAATGGGCAAAGGGACAGGGGGAATGGGAGACATCTGTAGTAGTGTCCACAGTGGTAAGGAATTCCGTTTAAAACTGAAGACTTGCTACGTAACTCATCATATAGGAGAAAAAATTGTCAAGATTTTTACTTAGAATTTGATTTGAGGATGATTTTATAAATTAGTTTTGTCTTTTTGGGGAGACTACTGTTTTCAGTTAGTAAAGTATTTCAAATTTGCTAACAAATCAGTTCACCTGTGGAGCATTCCACAATAAAACATTTCTCACAAAAAATGTGGGATTATTTTTAGTAGTAAATAATTAGGAATACTTCAAACATTCACATGGGCCCCAGAGCAACCCAAATTATAGGAATACCAATATGAAAAGTTGACAATATTTATAACATAAAATATTTATAAAATGGGAATATATATGAAATTTAAATCAAGTTTCTCAAAATATAGCGTACAATGTAAAGAATGAATAGAAAAGAAGGAAGGAAGAAAGAAAGGGAAAGAAGGAAGGAGGGAGGGAGGAAGGAAGGACCACAATACCACCTGATAGATGTAACTATGGTTAACTTTGTCGTATATGATTTGCGTATTTTTTTTGTGTGAATATATGATCCATAGGTCATAACATGTGTTGTGATTAGACAAATGATTTATCACTACCTAACCTGTTTATAGTGTGTTGCTCTTTTTAACTTGCTGTATTGTGAACATTTTTAGTCAGTGTCATGATTGCCTGAATCTTTAGTTAAGTTAGAATATAACTACAAATTTTATTCACTTAATAATTTAACAGAAGGCTATTGACCATCTTCTTTGTACTGGATACTCTTAGAAGTAGATGATTAAACTGGGTATAAAATAAAAATATTATTGCTTAAAAATAACAGTTTCAGGTTTAAGATGTGTAACAGACATGTTAACAAAAGGTTGCAACGTAGTGTAGCAAGTGTTATGATAAAGTAATCAGAGAATGCAGAAAAGTATATTTGAGGGGCTCTTAGTCTGGCCTGAAAAGTCATGAAACCATGCAAGAGGAAGTGATTTAACAGAGTAGAGGAAGTGTAGCAGAAAGAAAGTCAGGCAAGGAAAATGATGGCAGAATACTACTT